AATTCCCCACTCCACCAGTTGGAGAGGGCAGACTTGGGGCAGTTTATCCAACCTTCCTGTACCTCAGTTTCCTCACCTGTAAAATGGGGATAACAAATCCTTCTTCAGAGAGTGGTTGTGAAATGCCTCGCGGAGGAGCAGGTAAAGAGAAGATGCTCAATCAGAGTTGTTTTTCTCCTTCACAACCTCATTATTATTGATCTTGGGTATTTAATTATTCATCACCCACAGAGGAAATGGATAAGGTGCCACGATGTCTAGATTTCCTGAGTCTTGATTTCAAGCATGGTTGCTCTGTTGTCAGACTCTGTATCTAGCTGTAGTTTGTCATTGTCCTTAAGAGTAAATTCTCTGCTTCTTCACTTTATTTTCTGCCATTCTCCACCTTACCCACTGCTCTTTCAGTCTCCTATGCATCACCTTAGGGCCGTGCTCTGCCAGGAACATGCTAACCATGCTTTCCGATGGATGGCTCCAATTCCTCTTCCAGGAAGCCTGGGTTCTTTGTTAACCTGTTTGCTCTTAATCTCAGGAGTATGTTATTTCTTTCGTATCGTTTATCACAATTTTAAGTGTGTATATATATACATATATACACATATATATTTATTTGTTTTTATGTGTCTAAGCTCCACCAGGGGAGGCCCTCTATTTGCCTAACTTGTAACTGAATGGTCAGAGCCTGCCATAAAAGGTCCTAATGAGTATTAGAGGAATGAATAAATATTAGCCCCGCATCTTGATTTGAGGTTTAAAAATAAGGTCACTATGGGTAGAAAACTTTGTGAACCATTTGAGCTTATAAGAAGCTGCTTTGTAATCTTATTATTATTATTTTTTTCCTTTTTGTCTTTTTTCGTGTCCGGCAACGGATCGCAACCCTCAGTGTCGCGCCCGTACTGGACCGGGACCGGCAACGGGATCGCAACCCTCGGTGTCGCGCCCGCACCTCGCTCAGCCAGTGAGCGGGAACCAGTCTGTACGTGGGATCCGAACCCTCGGCAGGAGCGCTGCCGCGCTCCCAAGCAGCGCACTGTAGCAGTGCGCCACTGGGCCGGCCCATAATCTTATTTTGAATAATTAAGCCCAGTCTTATTTTACTATGAGAAAATAACCAGCCACAGAACAACATGCATGGGAACAAGATGGAACAGATGCTTCAGATGCAGGGAAAATAAGAACTTTATTTTCAGTATCCAAAAAGGGAAATGAACCTACTTCTTAAAAATAGTTAGCCAACTTTTAGGCCATAATTATTTCTGTCTGATTTGAGAAAGAGGAGCCCTGCTGTGCTTGTCCCTGTTTCTGTGTCCAAGCAAGAGAACTAACAACTACCATAAACATGGGTTTCAAGTATTGGAAGGATCAAAACCACTAGCATAACTCCCAGGTAAAAGCTCACAAGAATGTTATCATTCAGCTAAAAGTTTGGAGACTGAAGCCTCAAGTTATATTTTTTCCCCTTTTTGGGAGACTGTTGTATTAAAATTTCTAAAACATCTTAGGAGTTATTTCCATTTGGGGATGGGGAGAGTTTTACAAACATCCAGGCTCATGTTGAGCTTTGGTGAGTTGGTAAGGTTGGAATAATTCAAGGACAACACCAATTCATGCATATAAAAAGACTGTTGATTTGTGTAAGAACCAAATCTTTACTGATGTTAGGCACATGGCTCCTAAGAACCTGGGAACAGATAAGAGTTGTCCCTCTTTGGAATTCAGCCATCTGAAGGCAGGACTACTGAGTGCCTCCTGATTGGGCAACTGTCTCTGGGTGTCCCCGGTCTCCCCCCTATATACACGGACACTGCCACCAGATTCTCTTCTTAAATCTCACTTGTTACACATGACAAATGTTTCGGTGATTACAGCTGCTGAGTATACATTGGAGTCCAAACCCTTTCAAGGCTGTTGTCAATCTGGTTCCAACCCAATGTTCAGGCTTATTTTCCTTTACTCCTGACTCCTTTACCTAAACTGTCTAACCAGGCAGATAGGTATTATTGTTCCCTGAATATGCTTTGCTGTTTTCTAGCTTCCAGGATGAGGTCATGTAATCTCTCATCTGTTTCTACCTACCACCATCCCCTGGCCTTTCAGCAGTTCAGGCATATCCCACCTTCCCATGAAGGCTCTTCCCAGAATAATCCACCTCTGAGCTTCTAAAGAATTCTTGAGCAGCCCCACATCCTGCTGCTAATCATGTTTTGCACTGCTTGCGTTGTTGTTTTACATGGTTATTGTAGTTCTTGTTGTTTGTATTGTCAAGTATGTCATGGTGACCCCAGAAATGATTTAGAGCAGGGGTCCCTCACCTGTGGACCCCAAATTGGAATTGATAATTCTCTATTCTTTCAATAATTTCCACTTTCTTGTTAAGGTAATTTGAGTGGGTTTTTATCCTTTGCAAACAAACACGTCTTAAATAAGACAAATGTCATCTGCACATATTTAAGATTGAAATCCCCAACCTGATGTGCGATTATTTTTCACAATTCTGAAAACTCAAGGTCACATATGTCAATGTTCAAAAAGTATACCTGAGGCACTTAAAAAAAAAAAAAGCAGATTTAAAATATGCAGATTCCTTGGCTCCACCCAAAACTAACTGCCATAGAGTGTCTTGGGCATAGGAACTAGGAACTGGTATTGTAAACAAGATTCCTGGGCAATGTTTATGTATATGCAAGAAATTTAGAGGTCTACGGGAAGCTGACATTAATGCCCCTCATATGATGGGGAAGGGAAGAAGAAGAGGAAACAATTTGTGTTCCTTGAGTACCTGTTATGTGCCTGGAAAAGTATTAGGTATTTTCACCAGTATTATTTCTTGTAATCTGCAAACAAGCTTGTGATGTAAGTCTTATCATCAGTCGCTTCTTACAAAAAAGGAAATAAGTGTTCATGGATCTCTAAGTGGTAAGTGCATGGGTCAGCATTTAAGCTCTGGGCTGACCAGCTCTGAGGTCTTACTTCTCACTCTGCTTTCCACTCTGCGGGAGCTCCTAGCAAACCCTGGAGGGAGAAGCGACATGGAGGTCCAGCCAGGTTGGAGGTTTCCTGGGTTGGTCTGTGGGAGCTGGACAGATCCTGAGCCCCTGGCTGGTAACCCCGGATCAAGATCCCTTTACATCTTAAGAGGAGAGTGATCCTCTGAGCTCTGAATTTGCATCCTGGATACCAAGTCTGGAGCCTGGTGAGCTTCCACTGATGACCACAGAATGCCTGCTTGGTCACAAAACCATAGCACCTCTGGACATCATTACAGGTGAAGAATATACACTGGCCTTCTGGCTGAGGCTTTAAAGACCAGCAGCATCCAATATTCCAGCTGGAGCAATAGTGGCTGCTGAATGGAAGGCAAAGAAGAGAGGCCGCAGAAGGCAGGATTGAAATCCCCAACCTGATGTGCGATTATTTTTCACAATTCTGAAAACTCAAGGTCACATATGTCAATGTTCAAAAAGTATACCTGAGGCACTTAAAAAAAAAAAAAGCAGATTTAAAATATGCAGATTCCTTGGCTCCACCCGAAACTAACTGCCATAGAGTTTCTTGGGCATAGGAACTAGGAACTGGTATTGTAAACAAGATTCCCGGGCAATGTTTATGTATATGCAAGAAATTTAGAGGTCTACGGGAAGCTGACATTAATGCCCCTCATATGATGGGGAAGGGAAGAAGAAGAGGAAACAATTTGTGTTCCTTGAGTACCTGTTATGTGCCTGGAAAAGTATTAGGTATTTTCACCAGTATTATTTCTTGTAATCTGCAAACAAGCTTGTGATGTAAGTCTTATCATCAGTCGCTTCTTACAAAAAAGGAAATAAGTGTTCATGGATCTCTAAGTGGTAAGTGCATGGGTCAGCATTTAAGCTCTGGGCTGACCAGCTCTGAGGTCTTACTTCTCACTCTGCTTTCCACTCTGCGGGAGCTCCTAGCAAACCCTGGAGGGAGAAGCGACATGGAGGTCCAGCCAGGTTGGAGGTTTCCTGGGTTGGTCTGTGGGAGCTGGACAGATCCTGAGCCCCTGGCTGGTAACCCCGGATCAAGATCCCTTTACATCTTAAGAGGAGAGTGATCCTCTGAGCTCTGAATTTGCATCCTGGATACCAAGTCTGGAGCCTGGTGAGCTTCCACTGATGACCACAGAATGCCTGCTTGGTCACAAAACCATAGCACCTCTGGACATCATTACAGGTGAAGAATATACACTGGCCTTCTGGCTGAGGCTTTAAAGACCAGCAGCATCCAATATTCCAGCTGGAGCAATAGTGGCTGCTGAATGGAAGGCAAAGAAGAGAGGCCGCAGAAGGCAGTGTCCTGTTCATCATCCAGGAAAGGGGCTAAAGAAAGCCATCTGGGTTTGTGAAGGAGGGCTGGTGACTGTGCAAACCCCAGAGAGCACTGAAGCCCCCATATTTGGGGATTATAGGTCTAAAGCAGTTGTTCTCAACCTTAGCTAAATATTAGCATCAGCTGGGGAGAATTAAAAAATTTCTGAAGCCCAGGCTGCTCCCCAGATCAGAGGCCCAGGCCCTGGAGCTTTTTAAAGCTCTCCAGATGATTTCAGTGGGCAGCCTGGTCTAAAGTGTCTTCAGTGGCCAAGTGATACAGGTCCAGCCTGCAAATACTCTGAAGCCAGCTTGCATTCCACCATGGCTGGGAAAGCTGAGGTCAGTCCAGTATAAACCATCAGCCACAGTCTGCCCAGTTTGAGAACTGAAAAGCCTCCAGAACTTTGACTCACAGCCAGAGCAGGGTCCCCTTCAATTTTCAATTTTCCATTGAAAAGCAGAATTGGCACAAGAGACTGAGAAAGGAAACATGTGAAAGGCAGAAGGGAGAAGTGGGATGTAGCAGACACTAATATTTATGAAGGAATGTTCTTTCAAGCAGAAAAACACCAGCCTTAGAGAGATGAAACTGGGGTATTTATGGCAGCTTGGGGACAGAAAGAGCCTGGATGTCCAGTCTTAGGGGAAGTGCTCTCAACTCACGGAGTGGATGATGCCTTGCAGCGCCTGAAAGCCATCGTTCACAGGAAACACGTGATCCTTACTGTCCGCAATCCGGGCCAGCTGAGAACACAGCAAACGCACAACACATATGGACATGTGTCAGGCTTGGATGCAGAGAAGCTAAGAAAGCCACTGGGCCCAGGAGGCTCCATATACTTTTAGAACTCAGAGGCCTTCGCTGGGCTCAGGGACCTCACTGAAAAGCCTTCAGTAATAATGAGCTTACCAGCAGCCTCTCTGGAGCAGGCCCGAAGGGTTGGCTCCAGATTTTACATTTGTTTTAATACTTTTCTCCTTAGGAGCAGAGGTAAGATTGCCCGGCTTGATGAACATTTGGCCTGGGCTGATGTATTTATGGATTTGGGGGCAGGCCATTGGCTCATTTTTCTCCCATTCACCCAAACTCCTGTTGGCAATTTATTCAAATCAAACAGATTGAAATTTCCTTTCAGGGAAACTTTACAAGTAAATTCAGGCTTTGGTGTTGGGTGAGGCCAATGAATGGGGACCCCAACCTTTCACCCAAACTGCTCATTAAGGAAATGGCCCTTGCAGTTGGTCTGGCTGCTCCTGATGTATGAAGCAGAGGACTGAAGGCAAGGAGAAGCTGATCTGTGAGCTTTTCTGACCCCAAATTTCAATGTAGTTCTGTGATTGTCACAGTTGGAGTCAGTGCCTATATGCATGGTTTTTAAAAATACATTTTTTTTGTTTTTAGTGATTGTAAAATAACACATACTAATTGTGAAAACTTAGGGAAATCCAGGAGAATTAAAATAAAAACAAAACAAAGGTTACTCATAATCCTATATCTATCTTTGTTAAAAACTCAATATATGTAGTCTTTCATATCTTTTTCAATGCAAATATACACATTTATTCTAAAAGTGGCTGCATACTATTCTTGTTGCTTTGCAATCCTATTTTATTCACTTAACAGTATATCATGAGCATTTCCCTGTGTCATTAAAACAGAAAGAAATTATGAATTACATCAAGGAACATTTATTTGTTAGGAAGTTTTCACAACTTGCTTATAGGTACTTGTACATAAGTTTTTGCCCACTTGTCCAACTATTTCCATATTTTTATATTGAAGATGCATTTTTAGTGGGTGAAAAGAAATATTTATCATTTAAGTAAGACAGTCATATTTGTCAAATTAAATTTAAAAAAACAATCCAAAGAGTGTTACAAGCTAATTCAGATCTGTTTTGACACTTTGGCAATTTAATGTTTACCAAGAAAGTCAACCAAGAAAGACACTACCTGGATGGTCTCTGTTGAGGACCCCAAATATATCAGAAAATGACTTCACATCCCTTACAAATCCAGCAATTCCTTTCTGCTTTGCATTTCTGGAAAAATAACCTATCTAAGGAATATTCATCCTGCTCATGCACCTTCTGCACTGAACGCACATGTTCTCCATCATTCACAGGCTCAGTATGTTCCTTTCTGCTTTGCATTTCTGGAAAAATAACCTATCTAAGGAATATTTATCCTGCTCATGCACCTTCTGCACTGAACGCACATGTTCTCCATCATTCACAGGCTCAGTATGCTCCCAAACCTGGGGAAATCCATGATCATACCTGTGTTTCATTGAAATCTTTCACACCAACACAGTAAACGATTGCACCAAGATCTCGGGATCTGTTAGCCTGGGTCATGGAAAGAAAGGACATTAGAGAGAGAAGCAGTGGCAAACACACTTCTCCTGGATTTGCCAGACTAACTTCAATGATTTGGTATTTATTGAGCACCTACCATGTGCCAGGTACCAGACTGAAGAAAGCAATCCCTGTCTACGAGGAGCTCGTACTTCAGTGAACATCACATTCTAATGGAATGCATGGTGGGCCGAAGAGGAGTGATTAATCCAGGGGGAAGTGCTGTACAGATTCACTGAAGTAGAGTCTCAATGTGGGGCTTTGAAAGTTGAGGGGAGGGGAGGGAAACTGCAGGCTAAGAGAAGTCATATTAAATATACTGGAAAAATGATTACATTTTCTATTCCTCTGATGGATTTTTATTGACATACATTTCTTTGTAATGGCCATTCTAATGGAATGCATGGTGGGCCGGAGAGGAGTGATTAATCCAGGGGGAAGTGCTGTACAGATTCACTGAAGTAGAGTCTCAATGTGGGGCTTTGAAAGTTGAGGGGAGGGAAGGGAAACTGCAGGCTAAGAGAAGTCATATTAAATATTCTGGGAAAATGATTACATTTTCTATTCCTCTGATGGATTTTTATTGACATACATTTCTTTGTAATGGCAGCATGATATCATAAAAGAATGTGGCCTTTGGAACCTGATATTCCTGGGTTTGATGCATTGCTTTGTTCCTAAAGTGTTTTGGGAATTAAATGGGATAATATGCTGAGCTCCTCACACAAGGCCTAGAACAATGGAGTGGCTTTGTTCTTAAAGGTGTTTTGGGAATTAAATGGGATAATATGCTGAGCTCCTCACACAAGGCCTAGAACAATGGAGATGCTCATATAACGTCAGTACACTGTGTGAATAAGGCCGTTTTCATTCCTATAGAATAAATTGGTTTAATGATAGGAAATTGTGGTTCGTATTTGAATAGGTGAACGCACAACCTTCTCTACAATTAGCCACTGAGAGGGCAACATAATGAATAGCATCATTTTGACTTGACTTTAATATTTGATTTAGTAAAGTCTTGACATCTAATTTCAAGGCTGTCCTGCATTTTAGAACAGAAAACAAAAATTGGAAGTCCTTGGCACATACAGTAGGTGTTTAATAAATAATTCATAGTAAACATATAGTAAGTGTTCAATATACGCATATTGATTTTAATTTTTTCCCCCTCTCTTAGTGCCCAAATCCACTTTTGTCTAACACTGAATTCTAGAAAGAACAGAAACATTCGTGTATGTCTTTTTCCTTCACATTAGGAATATTCCCTGCTGCATTCAGGATAAAATAATCTTTTAGATTCAGTCTAGCCCCAACCTTATCTACAACAGCTCTGTGACTCTTCTCTTCTAGTTGGGCCTTATATAAAATTATCAAGAATAGAAAGGTTCAATTTCTTTATATTGTGAATTTTTTCTTTTTTAGGAAGCCTCCTTGTATTGGCATTGGCACTCTGAATATTTTCCCAAGTTTTCATGTGCCATACCTAAATTCCTTTACACTAACCCTTATTTTAAGCCTCTGACACCCATCATTTATTTTATTTTCAGTTCTTTCCTTATAAGGGTTTTTACTGTATTTGACTATTATTTAGAACCTAAACAAGCCATTTAGCATTCCTATCACATAGTTCCAACTGTAGAATATAGCATTTTCCAAATGCTGAGGAGTGTCTGTCATATTAACTTGTGTGTTTCCCTACTGTGAGCTGTCCTTTATACTAGCAGGGGGAGTGAGTAACTAGTGGGTTTACCTACATAATTTCCCCATACCCTTTGCTAGCAGAGCTTCCAAAAAGCTGAAGATTGTTTCATGGTCAGACCCACGAAGGTGGGTCTTACTCACCTCTGCGTCTCTGGTGCCCAGCAAAGTGCCCAGCACATGCCAAGCTCTCAGTTAACACTGGCTGACTGACTGAATGACTGAATGGATGTAGACTTCACGCTTGCTAAGGGAGCTGAATTTAAATTAAATACTAGTCAAGAACCCAAGGTAAGTGTAATGCTATGATTAACTCCTTTCCCAGAGCCCGGCACCTTCTTCCCTCACTGTCTGCCTTTTTCCTCACTGCGATTCTGTCTACCATCTCCTGAATGAGACTTTGTCACCAAGGCTTCAACACTTTTCTGTGGTTAACCTGTTTCCATGGGCCAATTATACAAATAGCTCAATTCTAAAACTTGAAAAGAAAGGTTTTCCTAAGTGTAAACATTACTTTCAATTCTTGAGTAAACCTCTTTTTCTAAGTCTCTTTAAAAAAATTGAAAGCTTCATTTAGAGAATTTTTTCACTTGCATTGAAGAGTGATTTTTGAGAACATAAATAAAAGGAAAAAAACATTAAAGGAGACAGTACAATTAATTTTGCTACCAACTGCTGTTCAATTTTGGTCCTTACAGTGAGAAGCTCAATGATTCATACATTCTGACAAGATTGGCTCTTACATATTTTAAGTAATTCCTTCCTCTCCTACTGTTTTAGTGGAAAATGGAGGGAAAATGGTACTGATATTTTTGTGTAAAAGTTATGTACAAATTTCAACACTGCTGGAATAACAAAACACCTTAAATAAAGACGTGGTAGATATTTTTTATCCCTCAACACACAGAGTGATACACAAAAATTTTGAGAAGAGAAAAATATCTACCATGTGTAAAACATGAAAATTCATTTAAAAAAATGAACTATTATTATTATTTTTACATATGAAATACTATTTCATTCAGGGGTTTACAAAGAACACATATAATTTTGTCCAAGTGGAGAGACTACAGCATTTCAGAAAGGAGGAGCCTTTTTCCCTGTTCGTGTTTACACACGGGCCAGGCTGTCGCTTACCTCCCTCTCTGAATAGAAAAAAAGATCTTCATGGAGCTCTCCATCAGTCAAGGCAATGATGACACTGGCTGTCCTGTATCCTGCGTGAGACAACACAGACTGGCTTAGTCCACTCTGCCCCACCCAGGGAACTGATCTCTTATAAGCCCTGGGATTTGATCTCTTATAAGCTCAACCACCCAAAGTCAATATTGTGGGAATCGTCAACTCTTCTTTTGGAACTGGAAGCAGTTCAAGCATGAAGAAAAATGCTTTCATGGCTGCAGACTATAAGAGTAATAGATTTTGCTTTTGAGTTTCTTAGCCTCATCTTTAAAAAAAGGCCAAACCTGGTAAAATGATCACAGAACCAATAGCTGGAAATAGCTCCAGTGAATCAAGTGCGATTGTTGCCCAGGCCTGAGAACAAAGTCTACTACCTGGATTGTGCAGGGGTCCTTCTCACAAGCTGTAGTTGACACATACACCACCCCTTGAAGACAATCTGGCAAAGAGTAATAGCCAGCATGATTTACAAACTGACTGTAATTATCAGAGCAGTTGGCAAAACCTACCAGAATTCTTCCAGTGATTTTCAGATTTCTAATAGATTTATATTAGCAAGTTTTGGTGCTGACACTTGGTCTATTTGTTGCAGTTTAGAATGTAACAGGACGTGAACACCCCTACAGGCCTGAAAGGAAAATCCCTAAGTATACTGAATCTCTTTTAAGAGATTTGCCTGAGGTAAAGAAATGCTATCTATGAAAGACACTGCAGTAATCATGGCTAAAATAAAAATATGATTATTTCTATATGCTTAGGTACTCTACTAAGTATATTTAATGCATGTTTTCATTTAAATGGAAAAAAAGGTTAAACTTAACTAGTATTTTATCTTAATATATCCAATCACAGTAATGAAGAAGCTTAAAGCTCCAAGAAGGACAAGAAAATTAAATTTGACATAAAAATCCAAGACTTTACTAACTCATCCAAGTATTTACTAATTTAATGAGTTCAACATGCAAAACTATTCATAGGAATTCCAGACTGCTGCCATAATGAGATCTTAATTACTTTTATATAACTTTTATTGGCATCAACAGAACAGTAGAATTGACCTGGTGTGTGCCATCTTTCTATGTATTCCTTCTTTGTGATGTAGTGTGTGTCCGAGGATTACAGACAATACCATATATGTCTTTTGAAACATAAAATTACTGAGGCACTTTCAAAAGCAGGCAGAGACAAAAGTTAAATAATTCATAATGTAATTAATTCATGCTATAGGCTTACCTTGTCTGTTTTCATAATAAATCTGCTCACTGGCCTAAAAAACATATGAATGAGCCATTAGCCATATAACCACTGTTTGCCCCCCGCCAAATACCATATTGCGCAGTGAGCTCTGGTGCTGGATACACAGCCAGGGCTCAGTCTTGACTCTGTATGTAATTTACCCAGGCTTCGCTCAAATATCAATGATGATATTCACCTAAAATTACTCTCACATTTAAAGAATATAGCTGTGAACATGGATTGATGTCTTACTTCTCCTAGCCTAGCACTTGTTTTCCTTAAGGTTGAAGTCACTGAAATTGTCTCAACCGCTGAAGCTGCCATCCAACAAAGGTCATTTTGGGAATGCAGGGGACTTGTGTGTGGCATGATTCCTGAGTCCCAGCCAAGCATTAGCTAACAAACCCTTCATCAGTGCCAGGGAAGGAAGAAGGAAATACATTTCTTGAGTTATTTTGGATAGTTATCAGTGTACAGCTCATGGGAAAATGTTGTCCTCTCTTCCCATTGGGTGTTATTCAGCCCCCTTGATACATGTGCCTTACCTTATCAGCCACCCCTTTGTTGATATTTCAATATCACCCCTTATATTTACAGTTTAAAACTGTTTTAAAATTACCCTTTCAAATCCTTCATGCATATAAGTGTCTCCTCCTGGCAGAACTTTCTGGAGTTCTTCTAGGCCATGACGAATCAGTTCCCTGAAATCCAAAGATACACTGTTAGTCTTATTAGAGCATTTTTTCTTTGCTGTTGATAATCATAGGTACGGATCTTCTTATCTCTGTGGACACTGCTGTATTGTCCCGAAGATCCCCCAAAAGCCTATCAGAGGAAAAGTTTTTGTATCATATTATCAACCCAGGATCAGCTATATACTATCAAATTAATCACCCAGGGTCAGCATAGGCTAAGGGGAAAGGACCTTTCTGAAGGAATTTCCATCTGCTTGCAAAAATTTTCCTTTCCCTGAACAGGGACAAAGTTTTCATTTGACATTGGAAATGAGTCTTAAAAACACAACTGCTCCTGAGGGGACACATAACAACTTCAGCAAAGATGCAAATGGCTTGTGTGAGCCAGAAAGAGGTGAGTACCAAGAACCCAGGGAAAGCCACGGCTAGGACGCTGGCGGGAGGGGAGGTGTCCAGAGCGAACTTTGCCACCGCACTGTTGTGCCAAAGGAAACCATGCAGTCAGCTTTGAAAATAAAAGTCCAAGGAATCCAAGCTTTCCAGGACAACCAAGAGTGTTTTCTGTGGGCTGATGCCTGTGTTTTATTACTCTGGTTGTCCAAGGTGACAGCAGGGGCAGGAAGAGGAAATGGGACATAGCACTGGGAAAGAGTCCGACAGACAGGGGAAACATGAATGGTTTGGGGGCCAAATGGCATCTTTGTGGACCATTCTCTCTGGGATGCAAAATATCTACATTCATATTCCTGTTTTTTAAATCGCTCCATATGGTGCCAAAAAGGGCAAGAAAGTGTAATTTCTGAAAACAAAATAAAACAAAACAAAATAAAACCCACAACATAATCTTCTCATAAACTGTAAGCCTATGAAAGAGTTTGAAATTGCCTTCCTCCCACTGGGGAGTCTTTGGTGGCAGAGGGTGGACATGCATTATTTAAATTAGGAAGGGAAATTCCTTTTGAGTAGGGAAAACGCTTAACGTTATACTGAGTAGCCACTATCTATAAGGCAATACTCGAAGATTTCTAAATACATGGAACAAGTCTCTGTTCTAAATATATGGAAGGTAATTAATTCGTTTAAGCCTTATGACTGCTCTTTGAGGATGATACTACTGTTATTTCTATTTCACAGATAAGGAAACTGGGTTACAGAGAGGCTAAAGAACTTGCCCCGCCCCCTGAACTAGTGAGTGACAGAGATGGGATTTCATCTCAGAGGCCCTGCTCTTAATCAGTGTGCTAAACTGTTTTTTTCTCTCTCTCTTGAATGAATGAATGAGTAAATGAATGAAACTTATTACCAATCTATCCTGGCAATTGCTTGGGGAGGAAGTCTAATGAAAAAACTAACCTTTTATTAAAACTGATGTAATGGGGGTGGCCATGGGTGAGGCTGAATTGTCAGGCTGTTAGAGGTTTTAAAAGATAAATTCAAAAGTGGTTAGCCTGAGCCTGTCCCTGGCCTAGGCTGCTGATGCTTCTCAAGTAGAATATTTAAGAACGAGTATCTCAGACTTTGGGAAATGTGCTAACTGTTGTCTGACTATTTTCTGTGCCCAGATATCAGACCACATGCCCAGCTGCTGAGTCAGAAACTGGAAGCCTTCCTTGTCTCTCTACCTTGACTCTCCTTTCTCTTTCTGTTCCCCACATAATACAGAATCAAGTCCTGCTTGTTCTACTCCAAATATATCTTGAAACTGACTACCTCTCTATCACTTCTGCTAATGCCATGGTCTGAGCCACCATCATTTCTTACTTAGATCACCGGACAGTCACCTGCTATTGTGTAACTGCCCTCTTGCCCACTCTTCCATTCATTCTCCACCTGGCTAACAGAGTGTTCTTGAAATTCAGGTGAAAGCATGCCATTCAGTCCCCTGCTCAGAACCCTTCAAAAGCAGCCCATTACAGTTATAACATCCTAAATCCTTGCCATGGCCTTCTAGCGCCTTCACGGGATGGCTCCTGTCTCCCTGTCCAGCCTCCTCTGCCCCCATCTCTTCACTTCAGCCACATTGCTCTTTTTCTGATAGACACTTCACAGTGGCAATCACTGCTGCCTAGGAACACTATTTGACCAGCTCTTTACCAGGCTAATTCTTACTCAGCCCTCAGTCCCAACCTAAATGCCAATTGCTCAAAGTAGCCTTATCTGACTTCCCCAAACCAAATTATTCCCCTTCATTAGACTTTCTCACGACCCCACAATTTTTGCTTCATAGCAATTAGGACATTTTATAAGTAACAACATTTGATAATGTAATTATTTGTTTATGGCTTCTTTTTTTCTTCTTTTTTCTAGTTCTAGACTTTAAACTCTATGAAGACTGGGCCATGTCTGTTTTGGCCCTCACTATATCTTCTGTGTGTACTGCAATACCTGAAACATAATAGACAGTCAACAAATATTTACTGAAGAGGTGAGTGGAGGGAACGGATGTCTCCATTGTTAATCATCCTGGGAAGAGGTCACCTTGGGGGCAGGGATGAGCTTCACTTTGCCATGTGGAGGGAGGCCAAGCAGGAGCTGACCTGGTAATTGGCCCCAGGACAGGTCCAGGGCTATGTGGTGGTTAAAAACCACTCTCTGTGTTGTACTTCTTACATTACCTCCAATATTTCAGTAAATCCCATCAAAAGGCATAGTTTAATTTCAACTCTGTTGTTTGGTAATCAGAAAGGGCATATATCTCGTGGATTAAAAGGAGGGATAAAGATAAGAGCCATGTCCCCCTACCAAGGTCACTGGGAGGGTGGCGTTAGCAGCCACCTGGCAGAGGGCAGCTTTGCCCTAGGGTTGGCAGTTTCATGAGGGTCCCAGCAGCAAAGGCAAGATGACATGAGGGTAAGGGTGGGACGGAAAAATCGGGGTCTGTTCCTGAGCATACTAAGGTGGCACTATGGAACCACAGTAGCTGGGGGCAGTGTGTGCGGGGGGGGGGGGGGTTTTTTGACAATTGGGGGATAGAAAATGGGGATTAAAAAGAAAATATGATTTTTTTTTTTGGTCACAGATTAGTGAGGTCTGGAACATTTTGGTAACACTAAAATTGGGATATTGCATTAAGGCTAAAGCTTAAAAAAGAGGGCTAAAAAAAAGCCTATTTGGGGGTGTGGAAAAGTTTGCTTGACTTCACTGTATTTTTTCACTGCCAAATAAAGCCTGGGAACTGGGGTATTTTCTCTGAGCCTATTTCCTTTCCTTCACAAGTATTTTCTTGAGCTTTCTATTTTTTTGGTACCAGAACAAGCAAAGGCTGTTTTGAGAAATGTCCTTATCCTTGATGCTTTGTGTCTGGAAAGATATGAACTTACTAGTCGCGAGCAGTGATCACAACCTCCCCCGATATGCGATATGCCACCCTCACTTACCAAAAGATCAAATAACTTCTAGCCCCACTCTAAGCACCCACAATGTCTAAACAAACAAAACAGGTGGTTTTGTGGGAATCGTGGGTCGGTTTTAATTCTGGGACAACATAACTACTAATAAGGGTCTATTCTTTATGCTTGCCTCGAAACTGAAGAAAATTGAGAGGAGAATCATTTAAAGGACGATGAGAACCTCTCAGAGGACTTGGTTACTACCAAATGAAATGTTATCTTCCTGGGAAATTAGAGAGGCCAGGAATTCTATGAAGAGAGGCTGGTATTAAAGAGCTCCTGTTTTCCTTGGTGGTTTCTCATGTCTGCCAGTGTTCCTACTTAACGCCGAGGGTTTTCAGGTCACGTGTCTTGTGTTCCTTTTGCAACCCCCACAACGGTTTTGATGGACATAGAGTAGGTGATTGTTGAATGAATGATTCTAGTTTGGGTGCATTCATTCATCATTCATTCATTGTCACAATTATTTATTAAACATACACCATCCATCCAGAACTATGCTGGTTTGTAAGGGGTAGTGGGTGAGGAGAATCAGTCACAGTGTCTTCTGGACTTTCTGTTGCCCTGGGAATTTTTCTACACTTTATGAAGATTACTTTCTGGGATTCTGGTTGTGGTGTGACATTTTGATAATATTTTCTGATGAAAACATTTAAAAGATGGATATACATAAGCATGTAAAGAAGCACTTCAACAATCTTTTATCCCAAGTATCCCACTGATGTTCTCACTGAAAATCCTCCTTGGGGTTATGCAACGTCTACCATATTTTTGTTTTACAAAAACAATCTCCAGCACCACCCTAAAATAACCCAACAGCAGCTCTGCATTGTCGACTTCCTTGCTTCCTTGTAAAAAGGCTTCTGTGGTATTGGGACTTTCCTAAATGCCTTGCAGTTGTTGGCTTTGGAGTCTCAACTCATATAGTAAACACACATCACTATTTATCACCACTAATGCTACTCTTACAACATTTCCGGATGGTCTTATGGCTCTAGTTGTTGACTACAAAAAAATAATGTAGTGAACAGAACAGAGGAACACAGATTAATTAAAGACGTTTTGCAGCTACTTTGGAAATCATGAAGTTTTACAATCAGCTGTAATCATTTGTTTATCATGTACATAAATCATAGACTCTTTGGGACTTTTACCTAAGGATAGGCCAACATGATGAATTATATCAAGATGCATGCTGAACCAAAGCTCTTTTTCTATGTATTTTTTAGTGAGCTGTAATTTATATACAGTAACATGCACAGATATTTGTTCATTTCTTTTATAATTGCTGAATTTACTTCTATAAAGTTGTTCATAATATTCCTTTATCATCTTTTAACATGTGTAGGATCTGTAGTAATTTCTGTAAAGTTGTTCATAATATTCCTTTATCATCTTTTAACATGTGTAGGATCTGTAGTAACATCCCCTCCTTCATTCCTGATATTATTCGTAAGTTATATTTTTTCTTTTAAAAAAAGTCAATCTTATTAGGAGTTTCAGTTTATTCTTTTCAAATCCTTATGGCTCTAGTTGTTGACTACAAAAAAATAATGTAGTGAACAGAACAGAGGAACACAGATTAATTAAAGACGTTTTGCTGCTACTTTGGAAATC